GCCCATTTATCCTTAATGTGTAATCTTTTGATATCACTTTTGTCAGGCATTCTAAAAATATATTCTAGGGCGTAATTTTTGAAACGCCCCGCCTCCTGCAAATAAATAAAATCTACAATCTAAATAATGAGTTTATGAAACATTTACTGTTTACGAAACATTAACTAAACGAACATTAACATTAAAGTAAATTTTTTAATTGAAGTTTTTTAAACAACTTGTCTTTTTAACATTAGCTTTTATAATTACGTTCCCAAAAAGAAATTGAAATAAGCTTCGATTTTATTCAGGTGATACATTTATGTCATTATAGTTTAATATATTCTCTCCAAACTCGATTAGAAAATGTCTGAAATTCTTGAGACTTAAAGTAATATTTTATTTAGTTACAGTAATGAAGAATGATTTAAACTGAAAAAAATGACTTATATATTAAACCCCAGTCGCGTTTTATTACTGATTAAATGGGTCACAAAGAATAAATTAGGAAAAACATAATCAAGTTTAGGCCACTTTTACCAAAATAAATAATTTATTTAGTCTGCTTAGTTTGATTAATTTAATTATGATCTATTGTAATGATTTTTTAAAATTTGTATAATGATCTACTATGTTAATAATTGCATTGGTTATTAAAATGTAAAATTTCGCACCATTTAATTTTTTAACTTAAATTTAACCTGAAATGTCCTAATCCTAATAATATTTATTCAAATCTTACGCTTAAATATTTTTAGAGCTGAAAATTTTTATCTCCTATTTTCATAAAATTCAAGCATGAATTGGCAGAAAAAATCAATTAACATTTTTTATCTTTTCTTTTTTCTTTGAAAAAGAAAAGAAAAATAATTCATCTGTGCATATACTTAGGAAAGCCGGTGCTAAGGAGAAAATAGGGAAAGATAGCAATCTCGGTATTTCCCCGACGCAATCACGGTTAGCAGCATCTGTCTATCATGTTTATGTTATGTTTATTTCTTTGAGGACGCTATACCACGAACGAAACACTTCATAGCGAATTCTCTTTCACCTACATTAAATACCTGATTTAAATTTAATGTTAAGAGAAAAGTGAGTTTAGGTATACCTATCTTTTCATTTTATTTTTCAACCGTCATTAAAAGGCAAACCCAATTTTGGGTTTACGAATACTAATGTTCAACTCCATAACCTTATAATTTTGAACCCAATCTAGAAGACAAGGGAACTCATGGTTTAAGTATCGGGAGAAATTCCCTTCTTGGAGGACTTTTTGACAGAACTAACCCGCATTTGCGTTACATTGAGAAGAAAACCACAAAAACCTCCCATGGTTAGCCCAATGGCAGGGGGACTTTAACTCATGATCCGTCTACCACTGAGGATAGTTTACGTCAGTACTGTGGTCAGTGAGAGCCGGGTGCGGAATTCGTATCGACCAGCCATCGCTGGGATTCGAACCCAGTTCACCTCATTGGAAGGCGAACGCTCTATCCCCTGAGTCACCACGGCGCTATTTAAACCTATTTTATTTTATTTTATAACCGTCGTTGAACAGCCGACCCAATTTTTTGGGTTTAATTTTTTGGGTTTACGACTACTAATGTTCAACTTCGTAACTTTGTAATTTTGAACTCAATCCAGAAGACTAGGGAACTCCTGGATTATGCATTGGTAGAAATTTCCCTTCGTGGAGAACTTTTTGATGAAACTAACCCGCATTTGCGTTACATGGAGAGGAAAACCACGTAAGCTTCCCACGATTAGCCTGACGGCAAACAGACTCTAACCCATGATCCATCTACTGCTGAGGATATTTTACATCAGCACTGTGGTCGGTGCTAGTCGGATGCGGAATTCGTATCGACCAGCAATTGTTAGGATTCGAGCATGAGTAATTGGTAGGTGAACGCTCTATCCCCTGAGCCACCATGGCTCTAGGTAAACCTATTGTAAACAATAAATCTTCAAATAGTGAAAAAAAAAATTCAGAACATCAAAATTCAATTGTGGCAAGATAACTCAAGATTACTTAGTGATGAAGTAATCGCGCAATAATTTGTTCGCACATCTTAATATTTTGCAAACATTTTTCAGCATTTGAAACTTAATGGTTTGCATTTGGCTTACCGGAACTCACTTTTCTCTTAACTTTAATTATTTAAATACCAATGCAGGGAAAACAGAATTTGCCATGAAAAGTCTCTGTCGCGTTATAACGTCCTCTTAAAGCATTACAACTGATTTATAGAGTCCGCTAAAAGTAAGTAATATAAGTTTTTTTTTTTTTTTTTTTTGAGAAGTGGACGCTCTAATGTACTTCTTTCATCAGTGTTTGTAATATTTGAATTTCAACTGCATAGAATTAATTACCTTACATTAAAATGTAAGTTTATTTCTTTCATAAAATACTTATAAATTATTTCTCGGCATTTCTGAAAATAATTTTTTATACTTATATTTATATTATTATCTATTCGTCATCTTATCCAGCACCTTAAATCATCTTATCCCCATCTACCGGGCAAAATGACGAAAATTACTCATTTGGGGGAAAGGAATATTTTGCCGTCTTCCAAAGGGAAATGATGATTTCAATTTTTTATAACTACTTTTAAAAAGCATATTGAATTCAAGAAAAATATTTTAAGTTCGCTTTTCGTCCTCTTACCCAACCATTCCCTAACTTAGAAACTTTTTGTTTGAGATGGAATGTTTTATTTTTGATTAGCTATTTTCACTAAAAATACCCCTGTTTGCTTTCGTCTTGTTTTCAAGAAACCATAAATTGATTTCGTAATAAACTTAGTGATAAATAAGTCTAGGAATGCAATACAAATAAAAATAATTGCTCTATAAAGAATATTTTCATCTCAGTATTTTTTCTGATCACGTCAACATCGTTTAGTGATTAAAATAAATATTTCCTTCGCAAGATAAACTTTACTAGAAATCTTGTCAAAACCTATTAAAGTTATCAGAATTTGTCTTCGACGTTTTTAACATCACTTCTTTCTATTTCAGGATTCGTGAATCAAAATTATTGCCTTTTTAACACCTCGTCTCTTAAAATGAATGTCTTTCGTCATGCTATCTGATTAGGCCATCGACTCAAAATTTTCTTTTTCATTATTTAAGAAGTTTGATGTTTTGATTTAATTGAGAAAAAGTATTTTTAGAGACTTTCATTAGTTTATATATTTCACTATGTGTTCTTCATTTATTTCATAATATGATACAAAGAATTTGTAATGGAAAATAATAAAACATAATACTTTTACTTTAACCCAGCAATTTTCCTATTTTAATAAATTCTGACATAGATGATTCGAACTAGTATTAATTCTCATTTAAATGTCTATTGAATCTAATATTATAACTTTCAAGTTGATTTTTTTTCGTTAATTCAAAATTTCTTGCAAAAATAATGAAAATTCTTGACTTCTTATATTGATTAATTCACGAGGTAATATAAATTCAACAACGCTCTCCGAAAAATAATTTCAACGTTAAACCATAATCTAGGTATTCTGAACCATAATTCGGTAGAAACTTGTCGCAATCCTTATAAGATGTTAAATTTAACGATGTTTCGGTTCCATCATTGTAATCATTAAAAAATGCGATTCATTTAGCAACATATTACAATTGAAATTTTAACGAACTTGAATGGTATTCATATTGTGGTTCAAAACGCTCCAAAAATTGCAACGGGAAGTTAAAAAAAGCTGGGCGGTAAAGAGGTAGATGGGCTGCACTATAGGATAAATGGATTGCTACTCTGTATTTATTTCAAGTACTAGTTTAGCTTCATCTAGAACAGTTATGGGCCAAGCTTGTTTGGGAAAAGGTTAAGGCTGTTACTCGAAGGCTCCATCGTAATATGAAATGATGCTCTTTTTTTAAATCTTCCGTGAGTTTTCAACTGTTACTCATGACTGTTATCTCAAGTTTAGCCTATTCTAAGGCCAGCGTTATTTACGCTTATTTTGAAAATGGCGCAAAGCGTCAATATGGAGAAAAGCCACAGTTTTGTGAAAATGAAAAGCGTTTGTGGTCTAATTTTTTAATATTAGGAAACTTATTCCAATTCTGCATTACTTGGGCTCAAAAAAATTTGCAGAAACTGAGAATTTGATTTTGATAATTTTCCTCTAGTCTGTAAAATGTCACCAAATTAGCGATTTCTGAAAAAGTTTACCAATTTTTAAAATATTTATGTTACTTGTCTGTTCTAAAGCCCAGATAATTCTTCTCGGAAATATTATATATATAGTTTAAAATCATCGCATTGCTGCACGTGTAAGGCACTTAAACTATGACTTTTTTATTTTCCTTGGTAACAGAGCTTCGAAAAACAGCGTTAAAAGACAAATGAAAACTCGTCGAACTCTTTTATTGGAAGTCCTAATATACCAGATGTTGGGTTTCACTTAATTTTCTTAAATTAATGGTCTTTCTTTTCTTAAATTAAAAATCTACATAAGGCTCTGTTATTAATGGTACAACTTGAATTTAAAGCGGATGGATGCTTTGTAAATTAGTCTCTTCACTCATTACTGCTCTGTCATAAAATAACTCTTAAGTTAAGAATCCCACAACGGTACGGCTAACCACGATAACTCTTGATGGTATTTCTCATGTGAAACTCAAATGATGGGTCAAATCTTACAAATAGATCGAGATGAGTGCAATTTGATCCTGAGCCTCAAATCGAAAGTTCTTTGTCATCCAAGTTTAGTTCTGAGTTTCAGATCCACTAAGCTGAGCACTTTTTCGGTAGTTTTTCCTGGGTGTCTTTATTGGCCAACTATTTAAAGTGTCTCTAGCCCTAATTTATTGAGAATTAAAAGCTAATTCCAAATCTTTTAAAAGAAGTATACTTACTTATAAAAAAAATATTGTTTAAATTTTGATATCTATTTGCAATTGACACAGATATTGTATAAATAATGTTTTTATTTTAAGATATTGAGTTAGATAAGGCAGAAAATTATAAAAACGCTTAGTGAATATATTGAGCGTAACTATAATATGTATATCAAATTGTAGATACCAAAAATTATTGATTTTCGGTATTGATAGTGATACTTATTGATATGTTTATTTGGAGACCTGCTTGAAAATAACGTCTCTAAACTTTAACTAATTTAACAGATTGGCAGTTCTAAAATTGGGTGAGTTACTTTGAGAACTAACGATAAACGCTTATGAATATGATATTTTTTACACAACTTGCTGCTAATAATTTAAGTTAGATATTATAAAATATAATATTTCCTAAAATAGGTAAGATATTTCTCTTACGGGATGAAAGCCCTGTTGCCTCACTTGAACAGCTTAAACAAATATTTTTGCGATTACAAAATTTTGTAGACAGCCTTGCTTCACTAGTTCTTTCATTAACATATTTTGGTTGAATGTTTCATTTATAACTTAAGTGATTATACTTGAAATGTATTGTCGTTCATATTAAGCGACAAAAAAAGAGGCTTCGTTTATATTTCTTTTGAAAGGCAAGGTTAAATATCTTGCAATTTGGGTGAGAAAGGTTATCATTAAAATACACAGTCAGCTCTCTCAAACTTAAGATTTCCTGATAGTGAAATCTCAAGTTGTAGAAGAGACATCAACCTAAAAAAAATATAAATAAAATACCGACGAGTGCATCAACATGAAAAAATAAATAAATCGATTGTATATATATTCGCCAATCTATGTTAGAGGGTTTTCCAGATTTAAAAATGTGAAATATTTTTCTCTTGGATATTTTCACTTCAAACGTTGACCCATTCTCATGATGCTTTGATTCTCTAACATAGATATTAAACATGTCATTTATTTCTAATATGGATGTAACTGCACATGTTAGGTGCGATACAATGTCATCATCATCAAATACAGATAATATTACTGACACAAATATGAATTCATCATCATCCGAATCTGAAGGTAAGTTTAGATTATACATTGTTTTACTTATTTTTGTTAGTTGTTTGGTAACACAAAGGATGGTGTTTACTTTAACTCTTTAGAGCAACACTGATGTCTATCAGATTCCTAAATATACTATAATATTATTAGTAATGACTTTTTATTTTTTTAAGTTTTTCAATAAACATAAATAAACTGCTTTTAACTTTAATCAAATTTTATTTGTTTCGTTACATTAAATTAACTAACATACGATATAATTTGACGATTTATTATATTAATATAGACTATTTATTATATCTGGTATTATATTATAATAATTACACTAAATTATTAGACGCACTGTAGTTTTTCTGATAATTGCCTGTTTTGCACGAGTTTATATGCAATACTTTTAAATTAAAACATACATATAATGGGTTTTTATGCGGGAGATTTTTATGTATTTCCTATTTGTATTTATTTTCAACATATTGCATTAAAATGTTTACCAATTGATACGCGAACGGAAACAAGTGCAAACCAGTTTCAGCAGCTTAAAAACAATAAAACTGCATAGTATCCCCTGATAATTAAAATTTTAGATATAATCTTTTAGNTATATATATATGAACGGCTGGTGGATGGTAATTTGAGACCTCACCAGACGTTTCATAATATTTCTTATGCACTTTCGGATTGCTATGTAATAATAATAATAGCTAAAATAAATAGTATTTTCATTTTATATGTGCATTAAAAAAAATCTACAAAACTAGCCTCTCTTACTCCCCTATAGAACATACAAACTTCTTTTAAACACTTTCAGGGTATTAAGGCTCCGTCGTAATATGAAATGATGCTTTTTGCGAATAATATGGTATTTTTATAACTGCTCTGAGCTTGGAACTGTTACTCATGATTGTTAGGTCAAGTTTAACGTATCTAAAGCCAGCTCTTTCTACGGTTATTCTGAAAATGGCTCAAAACGTCAATTTGGAGAAAAGCCACAGTTTTATTAAAAGCGTTTTATTACAGAAAATTAAAAGCATTTGTGTGTCTAAATTTTTAATATTTATAAACTTACTCCAATGCTGCGTTACTTGGGTTTATAAAATTTTTGAAAAACTGAGAATTTGATTTTGATAATTTTCATCTAGGCGGCAAAATGGCGTCAAAATGGCGATTTTGAAAAAATGTTTAATAACTTTTAAAATATTTTAGTTATTTCCCTGTTCTACAACCCAGATAATTCTTCAAGGCAAGATTATATATATAGTTTTAATCATCGCATTGCTTCAAGTGTGAGGAACTGAAACTATGTTTTTTTTTTATTTTCCTTAGCCACAGAGCTTCGAAAAACAGCGTTAAGATAATATCGAGCAAATCTAACCTAGCATTCCTTCATATAGAACATACAAATGCCTTTTTACTTTTCCAACACAATATTATAAAATTGATGATTACAATTTTTTATAGATCAAGGATGTGGAGAAATACGACGAAATATACCTTCTCGAATAAGTGAAGATTCGGGGCTTGGTGCTCTCAATTCTTCTCTTAGCAAAAGAGCTCCATCTTTGCATTTAGATATGGGTATAGTTTCAAGAACAAGTTCATTTGCTGGTTCAATGAATACTCTTCCAACGACTCCAACTCTAGGAAGAAAAGACGGTTTTGTTTTCTTCCGAGAAATATCGACAGAAAAGTAAGTTTTCAGAGACTATGTGCAATTTAATTTTTAAATACGAGTCATTTTCAAATTTTACTATCCCAGAAGAAAAACAAACGTCAAAGGCATATTTATATGTTTGAAGTAATGTACTCGAGAAATGAATTACCAAAAGAAAACTATTAAATATTCAACATGTTAAATATTTTGAAAATAAAAAATTTCAATTTGTAAAATTAAAAAACATATATGAGAATAGGTTAAAAATATCTATTCCTTTTTAGGTTTGCGTGTTTCAACTGTTTTTGGCTGACATAGTTCATTTAATAATATTATTTCTTTCACTAACTGTAAAATTATTTTGTCAGACTTTTTTTCTTAATTCCAGCACCGTGTAATTATTTGAGTCATAATTTGAATTTTATTCTGTTTAAATGTGGTAGAACATATTCTGTATTATTCTTAAATTGTTTAAGCAGTAGTTGGAAGTAGCGCACTACAAGTAGTGAAATTACTGTAGTCGCTGCTTTTTTTTTGTAGTTTGTAGTGTAGTGTGCTACCTTTTTAAAAAAGTGGTGTAGTGAATAGCGCGTTACAAACAAACAGTAGTATGTAGCGATTCCTGGCTACTACTTTTAACGTTAGTTCAGAAGAGAAACACGGTTCTAACGCAACAAATTTTTTGATGGGTACAAATCTTCACGGGTCTGTCAATGAATGCAATGAAAATGGCCCAAAGGCAGCAGCTAAGCGTTAATAGAAATCACTTATTTAAAATCACGTATAACTAATATATAAACTAGCAATTACGAAAAACAGATAAGTAATCACTTCGATCACACTTTTACGTGCGAATGTACACTCGTGAAGCATTGTTATTTCAAAGGAAGGGAACGTAACTTCGATGTACTTAATTTCTTGTTAAGAGAAACTTGATATAGAATTTTTATTTTGCATTTCATAATAATTGATTACTTCGTAAGCATCCATCAGAGGGTGATGAATCACTGCTCTTTCTTCTTTAAAATCATTTCTTATATCATGTTATTCGTGTTATTCATATATTATAAATTACCAATATCTAAAAAAAATAAAGATTAATGTAATTAAATCTTGTTATCTTTAAAATTTAAGTTACCTAAAACCCGATTACATATGATTCTAATTACAGATTGAATTACAATCAATTACATAAATGTAATATTTAATTCATTAGTTTAAAAAATACGCATATTTTTCAGTGATCTAATTTTTATTCAGTGATCTAATTCAGTGAATTGATTTTTTAAAATATCAATATTCAGAATCATGTATAGAATTAGGAAATTTATAATAATTTTATAATCAAATGTTCTCTTGTGGGTCGCTATTGGGAGGCCAGGGACGTTTTTAATTAATAGACTATCGCTATATACAACTGCTTCTTTTGTTCTCTGTGTTTTTTTTTCTTTCTCTCTATGTATGTTCTCTATATGGCTCTTCGTATTTATTACTATAATTGTCTTTTAATCCTGTCATTAGAAATGAAAAAAATAATTTTGAATTTGATGTTATATTTATGAGACTATTTGCTGCAGAAATTATATTGTAAGTTGATCATATGTGAAATTAATCTGTTAGTAAATATTTTCCCATGTGATCAATTTACTAAAGAGTTCTAGTCAGACAAATAGTACTATTTCACCAATACAGTGAAATTTTAATATTTAACATAATTGTATAGAAAATTTCTTGATTGAGTTTTTGTTCTGGTCAACTTATGAAAAACTTAGAAGAGCATTCAATTACATCCCTAAGTAAGTTTGACTTATTTCATCGGTCCCTGGGTTCGATCCTCGGGCCGGGCAAGGCTGACTCAACCTTTCATCCCTTCAGTGGGTCGATAAATGACTATGAGTACCAAGCATGCTTGAGAACTAAACACTGGGGGTTCCGAGTCGGCTGACCACCCAACCGGAACATCTGCTCCTGCACCCCAGAGCCCAAGGTCAAGAAAACTGAGATGGACACATTAGGCCTTTACCCTCTATAGGTTGTCGTGCCGCTGAGTTTAGTTTAGTTTTATTTCATCGGTCAACAGTAAGATAAGCACGTGGCCAAATTACAAAGATTTTGATCGCTTTTATTAAGTATTTTTAAATTGTATTCTTAATAATATATTCGAACTTTAAGGTTGTCAACTTACTAGGGTAGTCAAATTGCCAGGTTTCACTGTATCATGCAAATTTGCCGCAACTCAAGTAAGGCACCAAGTTGAACCATATTATGATGTAATTTAGTCTTTCTAATACAAAGCTTGATATAACTTGCAAGTATCTTATTTGATGATTACTAATATCTTATTTGGTGTTACCATTTTATAGCGATTCCTTGGTGATAATGCTGAGTGCTGTCTATGCGAAGCTTCTAGTTGTTATGGGTATAAGCTTTCCTCTTGCTGAAGTAATATCTCACAAGATTCCGGCATCATATTATGAGGTAATAAAATGTTAACATTATATATATTAAGAGATGTGATTTTTACCGAATAGTACTACACAGTTTTCATGCTTTTTGTGAGTTTATATCAGCAATTTATGACTGCTAGGCTGAGTTAAGTCCATCTTTAACCAGTGTTCTATGAGAATTATGAATATGGCGTAAAACGTCACTATGCTGAAAAGTCACAGTTTTGTGAAAAACGAATACGTTTGCGTTGTATATTTTTTTAATTTTGAAAAAGTTCTCAACTGCGCATTGTTTGAACTCATGAAAATACTCAAAAATTTAAAATTATTCAAAATTTTTTAATGGAAAAATCTTACAAGTTGACATTTTTTTTAAAAAAATCTAATATTTTTTTAAAAAAATATTTCAACTATTTGTCCACTTTAAAGTCCAGATGATTCTTTTTATAAAGATAGTATTATACGCCACTTAAAATTATAACTTATGTTTTTTTAATCCTAGTTTAGGTTGGTTGAAAAAGTTTCTTCCGATGCCATATCCCTAGCAACAATTTTACCTTGACCCCAGTTGGGCTCAAAATTGGCTGAATATGGATCCTATATGAACATGCACCGAGGAACCAATATTGGTTGGCTAGATTTTTCAATATTGGTCCTATATAGGTGCAATGCCGGCCTTTATGGGGCCAACATAGGGTCTGTATTAGCTGATAAATGAATATAAAATATCGGATGAATCTGATAATTCTACATAGGGTCGATATTGGTTGCAAAGTGGCGGTAAAATATCGGATAAATCGGATAATTCTATCTAGGGCTAATATCGGGAAAATAACGGCTCTTTGAGCCCTAATTGAGCCAAGATTCGTGAATATTGGTTCAATGAGGGCCAAAGTTACTTTGCTACTAGGGATGTAACTCGCTACAAAATTTATAAGAACTTTTAATGCCTTTTACTGACAGTGATACTTAATCTCATTTTTTTTTGATAGAAGTTTTGTTTTAATTTGTCATAATTAGCACGTTCTAGCGCAATTTTTTTTTCTATTTATATTTTTATTATCAATTCGGAAAACCTAATATTGACGACTATTTCGGTTTGAATTTTTAAATAATAGTTTTTCTTTTTTCTTTCAGGGTTTCTACCTCTACTTGTATCTAGGTTGTATAGTGTTTTTGATTTATGTTTATCTGTTCCTTTTGAGGTCTGAATCTTCTAATAACAAAGCCCAATCATTTTTTAAACAAGTCATGAAACGTGTTGGTTCAGTTGCAAATAGTATTGGTGGCTTGGATCGTATTGGAAATGGAGGAGGTAGCAATAAACCAAGATTCAGCGATGCTTCTCATTGTGGTAGTTTCTATTTGAGGCTAGGCGCGGTAGGTAAGTAGACCAATTAATCCAATTGATATTTTTGGACACTTTTTTTTTATATTGAATGCTTTAAGTATTCTAATATAATTTAAATTTACTTCGAAAATTTCTTTATCTTTAATTATTTGAACTTACTGAATAAATATTTTTCAAAAAATGTAAAGGTATATACTAAAAAGCAACTAAAAATTCTGAATGCAAAACTGAATTTTTAAAAATAAAGCTGATTTCATCAACTGGATTAAAATTCAAACTTTCAAAACATTGCCTTTCGCAAGTATACCTATAGTTAAAAATGATAGCAAAAAGGAAAGCTTAAAGAAAGAAAAAGTTTAAGCTTATTGAAGTTACTGATTTGGACAGATTTATCCATTACTCCATCAAATTGTGAAATCATTAAAAATATCATCTTATTTAATCATCTCTATTTAATATTAAGCTTTAATTAAATCAAAAACATTAAAAAAATTATTAATTTATTTCTTATATTTATGATATTAAATCAAAATAATTATGTATAATACAAATACAAAATAAATATCTATAAGCCTAATTTTTGACTTAAAACACTTTTATAATGCTTCATTTAATTTGTAAATCTTCACTGTGAACTTAAAGTATACACGTCCACCATTAAGCTTTAAGGTTGGGATTTTAAGAATTAACTATAATAAATATAATATAAGAAGTGTGATTTTCTAGGATCCAGATTTTTTGTTCTTATTTTTTTTCTCCATCTTATTTATTTATTTTTGTTTTTGTCTAAGCTTTTAAGATAAGTTACCTTGAGATCATTGTCTTCAATACCAGATAATTTTTTTAATGATTAGTTAATTTTAAAAAAAATATGTATATCCTATATTATATCTGGTTAAGAAAAGTGAAATAATAATCGATAAATATTTTAAATAGCATACTTTAAGTTCCACTCCGTTACCCTGAGCATGATAAAAAAAAAAAAGGAAGGATAACAGAGGGGTAAAAAGAAACTGCAATTCAATTTACTTTTATATGTTTCCTAAGAAGTAGAAAATGTTTGGACAAAGCTGAAAAGCATTTTTTGATCTTACCATCAAAAATTAAATGAATAGTTAAAAAATTAATTTAATACAAAAATTGAAAGAATATTTAAAAAATTTATTTAATACAAAAACTAAATGAATATTGAAAAATTAATTTAATGCAAAAATTAAATGAACATTAAAAAAATTAATTTAATACAATTATGTTAGTAATAAAGGGGAAATAGATTAAATTCCTTTTTAATGTTCTATGTTCTTACGTAACAGCAGATACTTTTTAAAAAAATGTGAGTACTTAAAAATCTAAAATTCGAATCAAATCTAAAAATAGAATATCCGTCTACTCCTGGAACCTATGATTGCTGACTTAATAGAAATAATTTAAAACATTAATAGTGGTAACAGAATGGAAAAATCCTGGGACAACATTAAATTGTCTTATTTTTACTATAAAACAATCTTAAAACTATATTTCAGATTAGCTGTGCTATATATTAAGCATAAAACTATTACTTCAATGGAATAGTCTGACATTATTTTCAATTAACTGTAACTTTATCTGCAATTAAAAGAGAGGTAAAGAAGACTGGGGCATTTGCTTACGTTGGAAACATTAAAGACACATTTCACAAGCATTATTTTTAAAATAATAATGTCTATGCATCTACATTTACTAAAAAAATTTGTTAAAAACATTCACTAAAAGCATTTAGTAAATTGATTTGATTGCTTAAAAATTTTATTTGGGATTCTATTCCAGTAATTAAAGTTAACGTCAATAGAGCAAGCATTTTTAAAATGACCAATATATTCTCGTAAATGAGTGATTTTCGGAATTTTCTTTGAACTTTTATTGTAATGTGACATACAGTTTAGGAGCAGTGCACCATATCAACTTCAAAATTGTATAATTACAATTAAAAAAGACTCCTTTAATTATGATATCCGTAAAACATTTTACCCTGACCTTGGGACAACGCAATATGGCGGCCTCCGCTGCATTTGCGAAACGTTATGTCTACTCTATTATGAAGAATGACTTAAGATAACGAATGTCTAAACAACAATATACTAAATTCAGAAATTTGAAAATGATTCTATTCTTTTTTAAATGTCTTGGAATTAAACAAAAAAAAAGATACAGAATGCATTATCTGCATAAATGCTCTTTGTCTCTTTCTTATATCAATATATTATTTGTTTCCCTTTCAGCTTTTGGAATTGGTAGCATGATATACTCGGGGCTTGAATTTGGTCAATTTTTTGAATTAGAAACCAATTCTCATTGCTACAACATATTGTACGCATTAACACCAAGTAGCAGAATGGCATTTACTTTTATACAGTTGTATTTCATCTTTCTCAACTCAAGGGTAAGTTTCTATTTTGCATTTTTCTTTGTATTCAAACATCTGAAATTTAATTAATTTAATTGAATACAAATTTCCTAAAAATTCCAACACAAACTATAGAAATCATATTTTCCCTTATTTTTCACGGAAAGGGAGAAACCGTAAGGGTAATGTCTGTAAAAATTCTGTTTCATTATCAATTTTCCTAAAAAAGATCTTGATGTTAATATTATCTAAAATTACGAGTTGAAAAATTGTTTTTATATTTTGTAATGCAATTTTATTTATATTATTTAATTTTAATCAAGTGCTTTTTTTCCGTTTCTTTTATATCCCAAATGTCCAGGCGGAAGATAATTAAATGTTCCAAGTTGCTGAAATTAAAATTTAAATGTTGATAAAAAGAGAAAATATTAAAATGTATTTATAAAAAAAGAACACTTCAATAAATCTTTTCTTCTTTCTCAGATTATCTGTATTCAAAACTAAATAAATCTCATAAAATATTTCTTAAGTTTTGATTTGTTCTGTTGTCGCTAAAGCGACTAATAAATTTTAAAGTAGGCTTGTTGAAAATTTTGCCTATTAAATCCTAATTTAAGATCAACGGTCAACCAAATCACTCACAGTATTTTTTTTTTTTTAAATTTTAGCCCAAGAAAATATCCATTTGGTGTAAATAAAACTGCTTACAATAAAATACCCATACTCGGGATATAACTTGGGCCTGTTTAACTTGGACCAAAATTATGTGCATCAGGTCAAACTGTTGCCACAGTAAATGATTTGAGGCATAACAGCTTATGATGACCTTTTTATAATGAAAATTAGATGGTCATCAACATTGATTTATTCACCTTATCAGACATTGATTTATTGAATAATCAATAGGTGGTTTTGCTCAAAACTAATAATTTTTAATAACAAGCAACCTTTTTTTTTTATACATGTTTGTCATGTCTGTTATGTTAAAAAAATAAGATTAAAGAAGTTTTAAGCTCGCGTTAAATACAACACTTTTCAAGAAATGGGAAATATGTACCTAAATTAAAGCAATGTTTTTCGAAGTTAAGATTTAGGAGGGAATTGGTTTTCCTAAATAATGCAGGTAAAAGTAAGTGATTAATACAGCTCTTTTCTTGTGCGCGTCATCAATTCACTTAAAAAACTTAATTTCATTTCATTTCAATGGAAAGAGTTCAAGTTATTATTGCAAGTTCAAGTTATTATATCAAGTTATTATTTATTTTGAAGATGTGGAGAATTAAATTGCTGTTACCTTCATAGCTAATTATTTTGCTAGTAAGTCCGATTTCAATATCTATATAATTTTAAAAGTTTCAAGTAATTTTCTAAGTAGTTTTTGTATTTTTTAAAAGAAAGCTCAAAATGATTAGATGTTTTACCAAGTGAACAAGATTTATTAAAAATGACACTGGCATTGATGGGGATCATCCCCCATAAGAGTTTCTTTACTTTCGAATGTTTTCTTTCCTTATATAATCACATTTTGGTGCATGAACGTTTATTGTGATGTATTATCATTTGGTCTTATGATACGAAATAATATTTACAGAAAACCTCTTATCATTTTGAGATTTCTTTTAAAAAGTACAAAATCTAATTAGAAAACTGCCTAATTTTTTTTCAATTTTTAAGACATTCCAATCAGACTTTTTTCATTAGTTGCCAAATAAGATTCAATACAAAATTATGAAAAAAATGAAGAAAAAAAAGAGCATGCTCAGTATGAAGGAACTACTTTACTTATATATTGCACAGTTTTCAACCAATTTATTTTAAATTGCTCTAAAAATTTTGGTTTCATTTTAATGAATAATTTTAAAGCTAGATCAAGAAGGGAAAAAAACGTAAGACGAAACACTAGCTTCTAAAAAAATTGCCCATATCTCCATAAATATTTAAGAGCTAAGCTTACAAAATTTTTGCGCAATTATTGCATATAGTAACCAAAATAATTGTTACAAATTTTAGATTTATTGCTACATTTTTCAGCATAGAGTGTTCAAAGCCGTTTGTAATTTATTTTTGGTCCCTCAAGCCTCTACAAGTTTTCTTGATATGTAAGAAAAATTGTATGATCTAAACACTTCTGCAGGTATAAAATGATTCTTTAAGTATTTCAGGAGAAATATGAAAAAATGTATTAGTATAGAAGTGTTTCCATTATTTCGTCCAACCCCTGTAATTCATAAAGAACAGCTGAAACGTATTTAGGGGAAGCAATGCCAGTGGCAATTCTCGAATCAGTGCCCTTTAAAAAATATTTTTTCATTTTTTTGAAATGCAAAATGAAGAATGTAATCATTATCTGAAGAATGAAATCATTTTGGCTATATAGTAAACGATTGTATTATATATAATCAAAAATTTGCAAAAAGCTATAATATTTCTAATTTTAATAATCTTTTATTTATGTGTATATTCGAAATATAAAGTCATTAAAAAATATATAATATTATAATAACAAAATATATTCTAATATATTATATATTATTATATTNACATTACATTACATTACATTACATTACATTACATTACATTATATTATATTATATTATATTATATTATATTATATTATACTACAATATATATAAAAGTAATTTATGTCATTCACTATTATATCAGATGAAATAATAGTAAAGACAACTCAACTGATATAATGAAGAGTATTACAATTTTTAAGTTTTTCAAACATAATACGGTTAGAAAATCGTTGCTCTGAGTTTTTTTTTCTTTTCTTTTAAGGGCAATAACGCAATTTAGAAATAAATACCAATCATTATTTAGAAACTACACTAAAGAAAGCTGTTATTTGAAGAAAAAAATCATTTTTTGCTTACAACAAAATAATAAAAATTTAGGAAGTTTCTTTTTATACGTATTTTGATCAAATCAAATAAAATTCTCACGATATTATAAATTAATTAAGAAGCTCAATACGAGTGATTAGAACCAATTATGACAATTGCTAATAAAACAGTAACTAAAGAAAAGCATTAAAATTAATCCAGCACTCTCGTTGCATTGAAAAAAATCGGTCAAATAGTTCTCTAGAAATCAAATTTTGAATATACGAACTTAAGGCATAACTTTAAGATAAAAAGATTTTGAAGTTTATTTCTGTGATTTAATGTAAGGGTAACCAGTATCAACGTTTGATGCAGCGTTTCCTCTTAAACATTCTAAAAAGAAAAAAAAATCTTTAGCGATAAAGCTCGAAATTTAGATTTTTATGAATGAAACAAAAATAACTTTTTCTTAGCATTATTAATGGGTACCAATGCCAAATAATTAACGATAGATTTCTTTATTTTATTTTCTCAAAAAATATCTATGCTTAGATTGAAATATTTGAAATTTTAATATAAGTTGTTATTTTCATAACTACGTATATAGTTTTAATAACAATACAATCACCAATGGTAATATTTAATTATAATATTTATTTTTGATTTATTGATGCCCATATATAAAAATGATTTGTCATAAAGATAATTGCTTGATAGAATAAGATTTTTAAACTAAATTAATTATTAAAATCCCAACATTCATGATGCACTAGTAGCAGAGGATACCAACAGAACTTTTTTTCATTTTGCAAAATGCAAATCTACAAATTAAATTACAAAAACAATAGCGTAAAATTAAAAAATTTTTTTGTCATGAAATAAATATTAAAAAGTATCATCACTGAGAAAAAATTTTATTGATTAAAACTAAAAATAGCTACATTTAAAAATTACAAAATATAATTTTTTATTTACTAGATTTTAAGAGAGGAGTTAATAGTAATAAATTTTAACAAATCTGGCGGATGCAAACGAATTAGACATAAATATGACTCAATACATTAATTTAAATATTAAGAAAAAGATTACTTACAGTCAGTGTTGCTTTTAATGATAAATAGAAAATAAAAATTCAATTTTTTTTATTTTCGAAAAGTGAAGACACAAACTACCTGCAACTTTAAACACATATCTTTCATCTGATTTTACAGTTTAGAACAGAGGGGGGTGTATTCAATCTTTTAACTGTTTGATTGGTTTAGGTTAGTTGTCAAGCAAGTGAGAGGCGTCTCCTTTTTTTATTATTTATTACCGTTGGTGCGTGTTTTTTCTTCTTTCTCGGTAGTTACCAAAATCTATCGAATCAGATATCGAAATCTATTCTGCAGATTTGAATTTTCAAAACTGATTAAATTGAAGTTAAAAAGACATATCTAAAGATGAGTCTTCAGACAACTGGACACTGCACATTTCGATATTTTTAAAGCAATTTTTCAGCATTTCAATCTGTATGGTTTACTCAAAGTTTATCTGTACTCACATTTCTGTAAATAAAATTTTTTTAAATATTAATGAGGATGAAACAGAATTTACCATCAAAAATTTATCCCACTGTATAGCCAATATAGCGTCCCCTTAATCTCTTCAAGCTTCGAGAGGAGAGAGGGGTTTCATGAAATTGTGAGACTTAGTGGAAGAAGAAGGTAACAAAAAGAGTGACACGTGACATTACCAAAAAAAAGACATCTAAAATCAAGCGCATTAATTATTTTTATATTATTTATTTTCATATTATTTCCATCTCATGTTAATGTTTAAAAAATAAAAACACTCCTTTCCTCTGCAAATTTATTTTATACCTAAAATCATTGATACCGATTAAAGTAACACTGATGGAAAAAAAAGTACAACTACCAGAATCTAGTAAATTTGACCATTTCTCTGGTTCTATGGAAACACCTAAAAGCTCGGTAAAATTTTTACCGAAGTGCTTTAATAATGATTTTGGTAAAATTAACAATAAAAGAGAGCTTTATAATATGTGATAAAATTTGGTAATTTTATCATGATACCTTAGAGCACGGCATAAAAACAATTCAAACTTTTCAGCTTTGTATTTTTTAATATAAGTGTGGTAAAAAGTACTATAATTATAAATTCAGAATTTCCGGTTAACCGTTACCATAAGATAGAAAAAATTACCAAATTCATGGTTTAAATACCGTATATTTTGGTTTTATTCACCAGAATTAGAGAAACGCCACTACCATTTAATTTTACCTAAATTTTTTCTCCATGAAATCTTACTTCAAAATTGCATTTTCAAAGAAAATTCTGAGACTGTGAAGAAACAATATTGCCGGGTTGATATTGTTATTCATTGGTCAGCTGCGCATGATAATTAAGAGCGACGTTTATCGAAGTATTTCATTACTATTGAATATTAATTATGTTTCTATTTTTCATTTTTAGGCAAATTGCCACAAAGAATCATTATTGTCAGCCCACAAATGTTATTAAAATAAATTGTTGAAGTTTAAAAATAAAATTTTATTTATGATCATCTAGTGTTACTGAGCTCTGAGCTGGAAATATATGCGTATGAAATATCACGTGACACGTAACTAGGGAGAGACATGAAGCGTGATACTCCCTTACAAATACGAGGAAAAGGGTGAAAATCATTTATGAGCAATCTCAATCCTGAAAGCACAAGGAAACCTTTAAAATTTTGATAAGTTTTCAAATATTTATAGCATAATTTTCTTAGTATCCAAACTTAGAAAGTATATAAATGCGTATGCCTGTGCTATTTTTTAGGGTTGGAGAGCTATTGTTAATTGCAACGATAAGTATTTAAGAATTTAATACTATTTTAATATTCAATATTTTTATTTTTTTAATAAGATTCTTTTTAACGCATTGTATGGGGAGCACGTAAAAATACGTTTTAGAAAATATCAAGTGTTGAATGTGCAAAATTTAAGAAAGTGCTTGGAAAACTATTTCATTTTCTCGCTCTTTTTCAAAGAAATAATTCCTTTTCATTACAAATATAAATGATTGTGAAAAATGATTGAGATAATATGTATTCTGTACTACAATTACTCAGAAGAAAAAAGAAACAAATATTGAAGTAGTAGCTATAGCGATAAATATGCACCAACTTTGATAAAACTTCGCCACTTCTTTGAACTCGCATCTTTGAGCTTAATCTATAGCAACCGAATTATATTTTTTGGAAAATTTTCCCTTATGCTATGTGTTTAAAAGATATTTATTATTAATTATTATTAAGAAGATATTCGTAAGAAAAATTTCGACTCAATGTATTTAAAGAATTTAATTAATTTTACAGATGGCTATCAGCAAATATCGAACATTAGCAAGATTTGGATTGATGCATATGATTGCAACTAACTTGTGTGTTTGGCTACATGTACTTGTACAAGAGACTAAGCATGAGATTTTAACCTTAATTACCCCGAATTCTACAAATCTCATACCAGCTTTTGTTTTAGAAGCGCAACAAACTGAAAATATTCATTTAGGTAAATATGCTCTCAGGCTTTTTTTCTAACTTTTTTCTTCACTTTAATAATATTTTATATTAAAATATACTTTAATATAGAAGGGCAATTCCATGGAAGTGTCAACTTTTAAGTGAAATTTTTTTTTTCATGANTTCTAATTTTTTTTTCACTTTAATAATATTTTACATTAAAATATACTTTAATATAGAACTATAATATAGCATAGATACATTTATTTCATTAAATATGTCTACAAGATATATTTTGGTCTGAACTATAAGATGAAATAGCTGTAAAAAATAGTATATGAGAAATCATAACTACTCGTTAACTTCTGTAAGAAAACTTCCTTACTAGAACCTGATCTAAAAATACGGGGGCCCTAGTCAGTGAGCCCCCAAGTCTTTACTTTAAACCAAATTTACATGTTTAATTATGAAGTGTTACTTTAAATTACTTATAACATAAGTAAATTGTGATATATTAGTAAATTTGAGCTTTTATTTATTTCAATTTCTGTTAACTCATAATTTTAATGCACAATTCTTAAAGAAAAACACAAAAGAAAATTATTTGTAACATTCAAAGGGCCCTGAAAAATGTGGGGGTCCTAGACCTCTCAAGCCTTATGATAAATCAAGCATAGCTCCTTATATACCATGTACTCAAACCCTCTTATTATTACGAACAAATCATGCAATTTACCATTTATTTTTGTTATTTTATAAAAAAGATGAAACCATTTTAAAGATAATATAATAATTAAAATTTTGATCTTTTCAATATACCTGTATCATATAACTGTGATTTTTATGAAGTATAAGCGAGACAAGTGGTATTTTCAAGTTTACGAAAAAAAGTTGGAAAAATTGAAAACTGAAGTACCATAATGTGAATTTATTAGCTCGATGGTAACTTCTAGATTAATCAGTATGCATTCTGTTTGAGTTATCAGATGAAAATACGTGCATTGAAAAGCTAGACAGAACTCTCAAGAAAGATTGTATCCAATTGTCACCTTGTCAAAGTTGTCAAATTATTTAAATTGTCACGAGCTAGTTGAGCTGAAATTTTGTATAGTGGTAGACCTTAAAGCTGGAAAATAACTTGTGAAATTTTTTTGTCGATTTCGAAATAGTTTAAAAATTATCGATAGTTATACAGTAGTTCCCCTCCCCTTTCCGAAATATGGCGCAAATTTCTTTTAGTCTGTAATCTAAGAGCAATGTTTACAGCAAATGATTACTTTAATCTAAATATATTTTTCATTCACTTAGCTTTAATAGAAAAATTGCTTTTAACTTCGCAATAAAATACTATATTTTCATTCTTAAATAATAAAAAATGCTTATATTTTAAAATTAAAAGAAAGTTATTGTTCAGCAATGGATTACATATGTATTTAAGTTATTGTTCTCAAGTTTTTCATTTCTTTTAAAAGAACAAATTATTCCATTTAAAATCTTTTTTAGGTTATAGTAAACTTGTACTATAATATGTTTCAAAGTACCGATATTATAGTTCAATGATTAACCGTTGCGTTTAAGAATGTACATCTGGTTTCATCTCATCTAATGCAAAGTGTATCATAATGATCACCCTTAATATATAATTTTCAATTTCTTACAAAAAAGGGAAATTCATTATGCCTGGTTGGAGTCACAAGAAATTATATAAGCGTCGTGAAGTATAAAACGTCCTCGTTTCTATTTTTAATATTGTTTTGAGACACCTTCACTGTAAATTCCAGATTAATTACGCTAAAAAGTACTGGAACTCCAAATGCAACATCCGTAAAATCCATTTTACCGTAAGATCTATTCTTACAGTAAAATTTTATACCTTTATTTTTACAGAAATATTTATTTAATTGCAATGTTTCAGTGATTTTACTGTATTGCTGTATAAAAATTACGGTACATGATATTTTTTTGATCCGTAAAATGTTGCTATAACAAATGGATTTTACAGTAAAATGTACTGATATCCTTAGTGTCGGTGTTTTTTATCGTAATTTGATGCGAATTTTTTTACAGAGTAACTAGCAATTTTTTTCTTCATTTTTTACAAGGATCGCAGTCAGGCACGCTGACCGCTCGGTCACCTGGCCGGTTTAATCATCATAAGTTAAGTACAAGAAAACTCAAATCAAAAATTTTAAACAATATCTGACATGTCTCTTAATACTTTTTAATAACGAGTTATACCCGCTAATTAAAAGTACTAATACCATATATAATTTTCTTTTCAGAGCAAGACTATATTTCTCCAATAGCAGATGACTTTTCAGAAATTGTTAATACAACTCATGGTGCTCATCAACGACACAAACGAACAATTGATATGCATGGGATTTATATAAGCCATGGTTGCAGACGTCTTAATATTATGGGAGAGCTTGTACAGAATGCGAGTCCCTTCCTCTTTCCATGTACCATAGAATACAGTCTCATTTGTGCTGCTATTCTATATGTAATGTGGAAGAACATAGGCCAATTCCGTCAAATTTCTACTAATGCCGATACTGCAAGCTTAAATCATGCTGTGATTCATGGCAGTCGTCAAAGGCATTACTACCAAGTTGATTGTGCCAAGGCTAATAAAGGTTTGTTCACAGGCATCATGGTGCTTGTACTATCTATAATATGTCTAATAATATTCTTTGTCCTTATCAACAAACCTCAATACAAATATTTAGCTATTTTAGAAGCTCATATAGCTGAGTTAGCTCTTTATCTGTTGACAACTTTAGCCGTAGTTATTGCTCTCGTCCAAGTGAGAGAATTGAAGTACAATCCTCACCAAATAATGGAATTAGATAGCATCTTGCTGGTAGTAGCCCAGAGCGGTTTATATCTATTTACAATGTTTAGTGTTATCGGAGGACATTTTACCATCGATCAGAATACCATTTTGGTTTTACTTACAGCGTTAGTATGTCTTATACAAGGCACATTTCAAACCATATTTATCCTCGATGCTTCAAAAAGATGTGCAGGAAACAGTGATCAGGCACATCGTAAACCAGGAAGAGAAATGGTTACATTTCTTTTAGTGTGCAATTTTGCTATGTGGGCAATTAACACATTAGAGACCAGAAGAGCTGATTCTAACCCAGTTCAGATGGAATTTTATGGCTTCTGGGCCTGGACTATAATTACTCACGTGACTACACCACTCACTATATTTTTCAGATTTCATTCAACTGTATGCTTGTGTGATATTTGGAAACGAACTTACAAAGTCAAGTCTGAATACATATAATTTTATGTATATATTGTATAATTTATTGTTTATTTCACATTTGTTTTTCACCATTCACAAAAATCATTTATCTATTTTATTAAGTTTGAAAATAAAGTTTTTATTCTATTTAATTCATTTCATTATTTACTGCTATTTAGATGTTATTTGGAAAATATTGCATTATAAAAGCGAGAAGCATGCAAGAATTAAGATAATAAATAACATTCGTTTTGTATAAGTAAAAAAAAATTAATTATCTTTCATCATATCTATGTATACAGAAAGCCTAAATAAAGAAAAATACAATAATTTTACATTTATTTTTTTCAAGTACATTACATTTATTTTTTACAAGTACATTAAACAAATCTTAAAATATTTTAGACCAGGAAGACTACCTCAGAACAGATTCCCAAACTTTTCAGACTTGCAGGATTCTTACCAGTTTTAAAATTGTCTCACGGCTCTCCAGTCATATTATATTTATCTGTGGTATAATATTTATTACACACATATAGTCTATGTTTCATACAGGAGAAAGTTGGACAAAACCGGATCTTAAAGTTTTCTCTTTTCTTTTCCAAACGTGATTAAAATTGCTTAATTTCTCGCTTAAATGATAAATCAAATCTCTTCAGTTCCGCAAACAAATATTATTTAATGTAAAAAAACTACATTTTGGAGGACAACTTAATAATTTTTTGGAAGCATGCCAGTACCAAGTTTTAACAGAATAAAACTGGGTAAGTGCAAAAATAATAAAAAAAAAGTACTATTTTTTCCAACTGAAATAATTATTTATATCATTAATAAATACTTCAGTAACACATTCCTATCCTGAGAATCATACAGGGATTTAAAACTCAAGAAAGATAACCAATATTGAATTTAGTATACATATTCGAAACTTTTAATAATGAATTTAATAAAGCAGAAATCAGAAATAAAACTTTGATTAACACAATCTTCGGATTTTTGTTGCCATGGGAAACACCATATTTCGATTAAGAAATTTAAGAAAGAAACACGTTAGTCAGACAAATTAAGTCCTGGTTTTATTCTACAATGACGCTTAACAGAAAAAAAGACTTAGTTCATTTTAGACGAGATGCAAAACCTGATTTCTTAGTTTAGAATAAAAGCTAAAGACAGTTATTATCAGGTGTTGAACTTAACTATACTCTGTTGCAAATTCAGAAAAAGCCATTATCCCTATGGGGAGAGCTTGTTTGCGTCTAAATGCACACCAAATGGATGCCAAGGTCCCAACGCAAACGAATATCAACATCGCCAACTCTTGAAACGACGTTGCACAGCCATATTTTTGCTTTTTTTCTTAAATTATGTGAAATGAGGAAAACAAAACTTATTGAATAAAAACTGTTGTCTTTTACCAGCGGTAAAATGAGAGAGTTGCATCATATTTAAATAATACTTTCTCTTCGCATGTAAAGCAACTGATGAAAGAATAATTAATATTGTTTCTTTCTTGCAGGCGATTTTCTTCTCGTATTTGATTTGTTAAGAGCATGTCAGCATACGCATTATTTTTAGTGGTTCAATCAAATCCAATGACCTTGCAAGGTCATATTGTTATTTCTTTTTAAAGAACGAATGTTCTCCTTATTTATCGAAATACATAGCCAAGTCTAGGATTCCAGCAAGTCTATGAAACTGTAACTTTTTTTTTAATAATTCTATGATATATATCGTAAAAGATAGCACGAATTAAAATTCTGTGTGATGTGTTTAACTTTTGAAATCTTTTATATTGTTTTAAAAGCATACTTGAATAATTTGATAATGAAATAAAACGAACTTTATGCAATCGCGGATGATTACTTAAATCCTATACCACGATGAACTTTTCTTAACTTGCATGGAGCTTCAACTAAAACTCTTAACTAAAATGAAGCTTCGAGCAATTAAGCACTACAGAGATTAAACCCTACACTCAATACAGTGATCGTATCTAATAAAATTACTAAATTTTAAAGTCAGTCGATTTTATTAAAGTTGCCAGAACGGAATCATTACAATATTAAAGCATGCTAAAACTATCCTTTAATAAAATCATTATCATTGTTCTGCTTTGTAAATTCAAATATTTGTTAGGTGTATGTTTTGAAAATGAAAAACTGTGCTTCTTCTTGTCTGAATAATTAGGTTTTCCTACTTTCTCAAGTTTTAAAAGATGTATGGAATCAAAATTTAAGAAAAAAAATTATTCTCTTATCTACGAGCAAAAGTGACATAGGCACAAGTAATTTAAATTGATTTGCGTAATTGCATTATTCTCGAAAAGCTACTTTTTACAAAAATGTTGTATAAATCAGTACATTTATCTGACAACTTGTCTTTAACCCTTTAACGATCAGTAAAAATTTTCAAGAAAACGGTCATAAAAAGGCCTATTTTTTTGGCTTTTGTATTTGTATTACGCATTTGATTAATGCTGAAATCTAGTTTAAAATAAACTAACTATCTACAATTACCTTAAAAAATATCTTGGCACTGCTATCTGGTGTGTAAAATGAGAAATAAAATGTTTTCGGGGCAAAAGAAATGAATTAGTTTTATTCTTATTGGCGCGTTACTACTGAACACTCCAGCCCGTCAATATCACGGGAGCGAGAAATAGCGGGCGAAAACTCACCCCGTCATTTTCACGAGAACGAGAAGGAAGGGGTTAATTACATACAATAATAGCCTGTAATTAAAATTATTTCAATCTAATGAGGAAAAAAGTAGCATTGTGATTTTAGCGCTATTACTAAATGCTGCAAAAGGAGTCAGCATGTGCTGGAAAAAGGATTAAGAAAAATGAATGAAAATTTTAAAGGACACATTAAGAAAAACAAAACGGTACAAAAAGCTTGGATCATGAAAATGTTTGCACAAGTGAAAAACAAATATGTTAATTCTATTTTTCAACATTCAAATTAGGGAACATACAAATAATGTCTATAAACAAGTTAATAAGCTTCTCTTTTAACATTTGACCTTGAAGAATTTTTAGATGAACGCTGTTGTTGGCTAGCAAACATAATGAATCCAAAAAACACACAGGCTCCCACCATTAATAAGAGACCAAAAGTTAGCATAATAGGACCTACAGTTCTTTGCAAGTTTGCACCCATATATCGATTGTAATTTTCATCTGCATAATTAGGTCGCACTTCTGTGTATGCTAGACCAGTCAAAACTGCTCCTCCAATAAGTATAGCAAAACCAACAATAGAAACTGCAATGGTCATCCAGGCAGCAGCCTTATAATTTGACATCTGTAGAAAATTCATCATTAATTCTGATATTAAATGGGCTTGTTGTTTCTAATGGTTCCTGTTAATGGCTTTATCTTGCGAAAACAAAACAAGATGTTACTGTAAAAAAAAAAAATATATAAGAATAAATACGTAAGTAAAAGAACTCATTTTTGTAAGTGAACAATAGAGATTACAGTTTTTTTTTTACAGAAAATTACTTGCTATCATAAGAAGTAAAAATAAATACAGTATATTAGTAAAAGAACTAATTTTTATAGTTTAACAATATTGTTTGTAGTTTTATTCCGAGGTAATTAGATTCTACTGTAAAAAATATTCGAATAAATATGTAAGCAAAAGCTGTAGCTGAATAAAGCAGATCATAGTTTTTAAGAGAAAATAAGATGCTACCGTAAAAAAAGCACGATGTTAGCAAAAAAACTCATTTTTGTAGCGGAACAATACAGATTATATTTTTTTAAGGAGAAATTAAGATTTGAAAAGGGATTTTCTGCAGTAAATCGTCAATCACACTTTTACCATTTTCAGAGAAATTGACTAATAAAAAAAAAGTACTTTTTTACAGAATTTAAACCGTACGGAAACCTAATCTGTAACAATGTTTTTAAGCTCCCTTTTTAAAAAAAAATCAGGTAGGTTTTGATACTTGACATTTTTTATTTTATTGAAAATTTCAGAATATATTCTTCATGTAAAACTATTAGACAAATACTTTTTTTTATTTTTGCGGAAAAAAATTTATCTCAAAGCTTTAGAGGGTCGAAATTGAAGAATTTCTAGAATTTTAAGAAAAGCACATCGACTTACAAGTGCCAATATATTTTGCGGCATTGATCTTTATTTTATGTTCTACTACGTTCACACACACTAACAATTGAGACAAAAATACTTTCAGTGGACTTTTGCATTGAAAATCAAAGGTCATTTTAAAATCTTCGAGAAAAAGCTATTTTTTTTTATTTTTTTTTTTGGATTTTGACTTCTTAAAATCTACTAGTACAAACAGGGAATCACAAAGGTACATATTTCTGTGAATACATACTAAAGAGTAGTATCTAAAAATGTAAACATAAGTGTGGTGCATATGGGGCATCCCTTAGAAATTAACGTTAGAGTAGCAAGAAAATGAAATTTTGCACAACTTTCAAGGTCATTTACTGCCTTTTCTGAAACTGAACAATTATGAAATTCGCAGGAAAAGAAGAATACAACAGGAACAACATCAATTCACAGATTTATGGTTACTGATTCAACTTTTTTATAATATGGCACTCAAGTTTGAGACCCGTACCTGAGTAATTGAAAACGGAAAAAGGTATGGGAAAGCTGTAAATTGTTTTTAAAAAATGTGATTTAGGCCCAATATGAGCATATAAAGCTAACGACGTGAGCTGCAGTCTCAATCTAGAAACTACTTTCAAAACAATTTACAGCATTCTCATAACTATTTCGGTATTCAATTACTCAGATACAAGTTTCAAACTTGAGTGCCATATTATAAAATAGTTGAATCAGTAACCATAAATCTGTGAATTGATGCTGTTCCTGTTGTATTTAAGACTTCTTTTCCTGCAAATTTCATAATTGTTTAGTTTTAGAAAAGGCAGTAAATGACCTTGAAAGTTGCGCAAAATTTCATTTTCTTGCTACTCTAAGGTTAATTTCTAAGGGATGCCCCATATGCACCACGCTTATGTTTATAATTTTAGATACTACTCTTTAGTATGTATTCACAGAAATATGTACCTCTGTGATTCCCTGTTTGTACTAATAGATTTTAACAGTCAAAATCCA